AATACTTTAATTATTATATCATAAAAAAATTATAAACACTATAGAAAATTTTAATACATTTATAATAAATTTTATTAGAGCATTTTTATTTATATGAAAATATTTAAAACTGAATCTTTACTAAACAAATCTGATGGACGTAACATTTAGAAATTTTCCCAATGGGTTAAGCTTGGATTGGAATGGCATGACTTGGGGACTGGGCGAGTTGCTTCTCATTAGGCTTCCTTAGGGACCATATCTCAACAGTGCTGGGACAGATCATGCATCCGGAAATATATTTCTTTACCATTGATTTTTTTTTTTTTTTTTTTTCATGCATCCGGAAATATATTTCTTTACCATTGATTTTTTTTATTTTTTTTTTTTGAAAATAGGTAATGGATTTACCATTGATTTTGGACTACAAATGTGTAAGAGCAGCTATACGAGACGCAAGGCAAAGTTCGGATCTCAGAACTCACCGCACCTCGGCTGCAGAGCGCAGAGCTTACCGCACCTCGGTTACAGAGCTCAAAGTCTACGGCACCTCAGTGATTCGCCGTTGGTGTATGGCAGCCACAATAAGCACGCCCTCATTTGATTATTTGTCCTTATCAGAACACCCCTTCTCAAAGGACTTGCTCCGTTAAAATACACCACGCGCATTTAATGCGGTTGCTCCGTTAAGGCATGTTACATTCACCTAAAACGTTTACTCCGTCAAGTGCACCATGTCACCATTATTGGATTGATTGGACCACGTGGGTGTGGACAAGCCACGTGGGTGTGGACAAGCCACATGGGTGCCTTGCTAAGATGGACGAAACCCACAATGTAAGGTTCGATAAATAGGCAGAACAAAAAAGGAAAACATGATTAGAGAAATACTGACTTAAGCATCGGATTTTCTCTCCGAGGGCCAACCTCGGGACTTTGCAAGATCACTTGGAGAAGAGTCAGCCTGAAGCAGAATCTTAAGGATATTCAGCAACTACAAAATGGGCAAGGAATTTGCTACGAGGAGATTATTATTGAATCTGATGGTTTCAGGCAACCAATGCCGTCGTTAAAGCTTTTAAAATCATGTTAATTTAGTTTTGTTAGAAAATAATCTAATGTTCCAAGCTCACAAGTCATAAGACTTTTAGCTATCAATTGAAAAAAAATATACATATATAAGTAAAAATAGTATCTATCTGCCTTACCTCCTAAATATTAGAAGAGAAATCATTTCGAAATTACGTCGTTTCAATAAATTTTCATTGAAAAAAACTAAAACACCTTATTTTTAAAACAAGAATTAGAGTTTTTTTTATCATTTCTTATAGTACTTTATTAAAATTACGTAATTTTAAAATAATTTTTCTCTTAATAATTAATAGATAAGGTGAATAAACACTAATTCATATATATACATGAGGTTAGTGTTTGTTTATCTTACTTCTAAAAAATTAGGAAGAAAAAAGATAAAAAACAAAAAGATAAAAAAACACCATAATTCATGTTTTAAAAATATGATATTTTAGTTTTTTTTAATAAGTATTTATTAAAATGACGTAGTTTCAAAATAATATTCTTTTTAATTTTTAAGAGATAAAACGGATAAATACTATTTCATATATATATATATATCTTGGCTCATAGAATAGCACCGATGATCCATGGGAAGGTGTTTGATTTGGCACCTTACCTTGGTCCTATAGCAATTTGTAACAATGAATTGCCTTAATCAAGATATTTTTTTGAGTGCAGTGTTTTACAATATAGCACCAGTCGTTGAACGGAGGAACTCTCTTTAATATTGTCAAAATTAGAGAGTTTTAAAAGGTTTCAACCCCTCTAAACTTTTTAAAATTATTAATATAGTCTATTAATTTTGATCTTTAAAATTTTATTTTTTTTATAATTCTAATCCTTTTCTTTATTAATATTTCACTTTTGACTCTTGTAAAATTTTTTTTTCTAATTCCATCACTATCTCCTCAATATTAAGAGATTCCTTCTAATCTAATGATTAATATTTTATAATTCAAAGAAACTCAAACTTCAAAACACTTTTTTTATTTATTACTTCCTTCTTTTCATATTAAATAAAAAAAATTAGGCTAACATTTTGGAAGATTTCTAAATACAAATCCCTTTCATCCCAAAACGTTAGTTCATAACGCATAAAAAAGAAGACCACATTAATTAAATTAAATCAAGAATCATCTGTTGGGAAACAATCAATATGCTTGCAGTTGCTTAACGATTTAAAAAGTCATATTATATTAAATTCATTATAAAATGCTATTGATCTATATCATGAAATCACATTCCAAACTTGTAAATATAAAAATGA